AATGCCTGTCTTATAAGGATCGTGACATTAAACTAATGCTGTGCAATGCAGGTATACTATTTTTTTATTGCCAATTATATAAATAAGCATATATACTAGGCATTGTATCATTCAAAACGCAATGACTGCACTTTGATATGTTATATGATTAGGTTATCTCTCCAAGATTAACTGATAAAATGTCTAAGATAATAAATTTGCGAATCTGGATTCACATTAAATTCGCCAATGTGAAAGACGTTCCGTAACGATCAGGGCAAGAGAAAGAAACACTCATCTGCATCATAGTCACTTTTTCGCATCCCTATTTTATAAAGTACCCACGCAGTACCAATTGGATGCTGTTGAGGTTGAGCACGAGGGTCGAAGAACGCGTGGGGGTATATTGCACGGATGTTTCGGCGTACGGCATAGAGTTCGGTCACATCTGCGAAATGAAATACGCAGAGCGAACCTTTATCTCTTCGGTTTTGTTGGAGACCATTGGTTGCAAATTCGTTCATAATTTTTTGGTAATTTTGGTGAGAGTGTTGATGTATCCAATTATAATTCGGCGAAATTACCAGTATAGGGTCATAGTTCTCGACGTCCTCAAGTTGTTGAGCATATTTTTCAATATCGGTTTTAGAGGCGTCTGGGAGAATGTTTTTAAGTGCATCTTCGGTCGATGCAAACCTTCTAAAATATGCGAAAAAAATTTACTAGTTGTTTTCATAACTCGCATAAAATTTTGCACTATACTTACTCGTATATGTCATCCTCTGAGTCGGGGTCTTCTTTTGTACTGTCGTTTTTTGGTGAGCAACCTGTTATATAAAATTATTGAATTATTGGCTATACTTCAATATCAATATAGCAATATAGCAATATAGCAATATAGCAATACCTCTAATTAGTAATTGAATAAAATCGAACGTATTAACGGTAGCTGTGGCGATAAAGATAAACGGTACGGCCTACAGAGATATTAGAAATATTAGAAGGGCGAAAGGTTTAAAAAAAGCGTTGGCAGAAATTGCGAGACATGCCATTGTGCAGACCAGACAGCGTATTGGAAGGACGAGTAAGTAAATGGTTTTTTGTAAAAGTGACATTTTGTTTATGCAGGCAGAATTGGAGAGATAGTCAAGGATTAGACAGAGCAGAGTTGGTGAGACGTCTACGATTTTTTGTATGCAGGATTTTTATATAAAAAAATTTCACGTGTGACAGAATGACGTATATCATCATAATAATAATGGGTCAGGGAAAATTAACAATGTACAATACAATAGCTAGCCCATGACTTCTGCATTACATCACTTACTGATATGATTAATTGGGCATAACAAATATGTAATTATAGAAAATCCCTAACCTGCAATGTTGCTAAGCCATGTTGCAATTTTTTGAGCAAAAAATAATATCAAGTTAGACTTTACTGAAGAATCAAGTAAGCAAAGATTGATCATCAGCATATTACTTTTATTGACAATTAAGATTGAGACCAAGTCTTTTTCACTTACAAGATATATCCATTGACATTTATTATTAGCCTTCTCATTTTTACTGTCAACTTTCCAATATAACGAGCTTAGACTATACTAATTGTGCAATCGATTTTTTTTCTGATTAATTTGTATGATTACTTATCGTTTTCCCGATAATTGTTATACGAAATCTCTAACCTATTTTATATATTGCATTGCCATGGCCGTATGGTCAAAAATAGATCGGAAATCCAACATTACTATTACACCAAGAAGCGGCTTTGTCCCATTAATAAAATGACAATATTTGCTTCGCAAAGCCACGTACGTGGCCTAGCATCCAGATATCGATATATTTCTTCACAATTAAAAATTGCTTATTGTTAACCCCCCGTCAATGATATGATCGTATTTGGTTCCACCATAAAGCTGAGAACTTGCCAGCTATTTGGTTATATACGAGAAATACTAATAATTAATTAGTTCTTTTAGCTATTACTATCATTACGCACAGTCGTCGCTGCAGATAATTTTTACATAACAGGATCGCCTATGTAAATGTAGATCTGCACATTTCAGCCAATAATTAACATTAAGTCATCATCTCCTGATTCAAATTTCTTGGGGCAAATCTTTTTACTGGTTAGTTAAAACATACTTTTCCTTTTTGATAAAATACTTTCCCTTATTAAGTATTTAGACTTGTAATCGCTTTACAATACTATTTGTATCAATTGTCCGATCTCTCTAAATATGGCATTTGTATCTATCGCTATTGTCCGATTCTCTAATAAGACCAAGCCCAATTATCGATAACTGACGATCATCACCATTTTGATAAGTCTAACTTAAACATTTTGTTATTCGGCTGACCGACAAATATATTGTTCTATGGTAACGCGGTTTCGCCTCTTCATTCTTTAGTTTTTCACTAAACAGAATACGCTGCTAACTGTTTACAATAGGGATTATGTTAAAATAAAATGGAACAAATACTGAATAATCTACTAACAAACGAGACTTTTCCATCTAATATATAGATTACTGATATAAATTCATTAGCGTACAATGTTTCGTCCATTATTAATCAGATACGCCGCATGGAAAGTTTCAACATCACACACAAGAATGACTAGTACTAGTTGAGGAGTCAATAAATCTCTATATTTAGCTCTTACAGTTTGTTATTATTGGATGTGATCGTTTTTGAGAAGTAAAAAAAAAATTTTCAATCAAAGTGATGATCACTTCAGGAAAATTTGCATTTCAACTTTATTACTTTTATAAGTGTTAGCCAATCACGTTCCAAGATTTGCGGGAAAAATGGGGAGATCGCCGTGTAAGTTCCAAAAGAGGCAATAGTTTGATCAGATTATGTCATAACAAAATTTGTTGGACCATTGTTAATCCTTATTATACATCGACAATTGAACATCACAATCAAAGTGTACGATATCTAATCGTGCATGCAAAAGTTCCCATTAATTTACTCCATGGGGAGAGTGACAGTCTGCTAAGCCCCATCGCCAAGTCTACAGGATATGATTAACGAACAAATTAAAAAAGATGGTATTCATGATTTGACATTTATAGCATCGGCACAATGGTTCCGTTCGTAGAAATCTTTTGCCCCGCATAATTGGCATAAGTATATGATTGGTGCGTGTATCGTGTATTGTTTGACTCCTAGTTTAATAATAGTAACTGCGGCGATTATTGTCGTACTTTATAGTATGTGAATTCAGTATATTCGTAATAAGTATTCCGACGGACGAACTTGTTAAGGTATATTACTTTTTTTAAAAAAACCAATCAATCAAACTTTATAGGAACACCCATCAGACTTTAGTGTCTGGTTTTATATAAAGTTTGCTTACCAAAAACGATAATACAAAAACTTTTTGCATATTTTTAGAATGTATGCATCGACCGAAGAAGTACTTAGAACCATCCTCCCAGACGCCTCTAAAAAAGATATTGAAAAGTATTCGCAACAACTTGAGGACGTCGAAGACTTTGACCCCGTATCTCTCTCGCTCTACGATCACGAGAAACAACCTCAACAACTCTTCTAGGCCGTACCTCAGACTCTGACAAACGCGTGGCCTTTCAGCAACACTAATAAAAGACATATCACTACGTCAGTTACGAGCTGAAGGTTAGAGACTATTCCAATACAGCAAAGACTGACAGGAAAACGCCAAAACCACAGGCTGCACGCAAACGAAAACAAATGGGTAATAATAATAAGAACCCAAATAACAAGACGATGTCCAACAAATGGAACGATTATTTTGACAAAGTTCAACCTCTTGTCTTTATTCTCAAACCGTCAATTTATTTAATTTGCAGAAATGTGACCTGTTGCCAAACCCGCCTTCGATTCGCAGCGGCAAAACAATTATGAACGCATTTGCGACCGATAGTCTCCAACAAAACATAAAGGTTCGCTCTGCATATTTCACTTCTCAGATATGACCGAGCTCTATGACGTACGCCGAACCATCCGTACACTATATCCCCCACGCGTTCTTTGACACCTCCACAGCGTCCAATTGGAGCATGAATTCAATCAGTCCAGAAAAGAAAACTTTATCTTTCAATTCAGCATAGTGCTTTTCTAGCAGTTGGCGGCTGCGTGGATACTTGTTAAGATGGGAGTGCAAAAAAGTGACTATGGTGAAGATGATTGCTTCTTTCACTTGCTCTGATAGAATAAACGTAGCATGGATTTTTAGTATCATTGCAATTGATAATTTGTTAATTACTGCATTCGCATCTTTGCTTTCTCACTTTGAGAAATCTTTTGTGGATAAATTAAAATTTATAACAAATATGGTAAACGCTCAAGAATGATTGAATAAAAATTATCCTGGGCGTTGACATTTTTGCTCGGTTTATTACTTTTAATTTTTAATTATATGTTGACGACGTCGATAATAGTTTGCCAGCTTTCTCCATGAGCTCGTAAAACGGTGAGCTTTACCGTTCTATGTTCGAATACCGATTGTACCATGATCTGTGTTGTCATACTATTCGACACGTAAGTTGGGTGCTGTAATTAGCTTGCTAGTCATGACTTATTTCAAGTAGCCAAATAATATACATGTGACATTAAGAGTGTAAATGAATGACTGTGACTTAATTGCCCATTGTGCGAATCCATGGCCAATTCAAATGATTACCGCTCTTTGTGATTGTACGCAAAAATAATAGTATTGTTTTCTTTATTATTATTAGAAACTTCACTTACATATATTACATGAAATGCTAACACAACAATTCATTATTATTATCCTTACCATTACTCTCTTTAGTATTTGCTAAGGACAGTAATCCCCTAGTTATTCCTTTCCAAGACTTATTAACAAACAGATGCTTTGACTTTAAAGATTTGACCATCCAATTTCCAGCCAATATTCCACTGATCATGGGAAGCCACCCCACCCCATCCCTGGTTTGTACTTGACCAGTTGATCAATGCAACTATATTTTTGGCAATTATATCTGCTTGAACAGCTCTGAATGCCATTTTCGTCTCTTTGACATTAGTAACATCTCCCCAAGGCAAAGATATGTTTATATCCTTCATGGTTGAGTTGTAACATAGATGTACTTTGACTAACCCAGTATCAGATTTTATTATAGTTACATAGGGTATCTGAAAAGTTTTGACAATATATTTTTATCTCAAATCAACTAAAAAAGTTTTGAGTTTTAGGCATTTGAAAAGCAACAGGTTTCTTAAATTTTTTAAGTTTTTAAGAAAAAAATGAAAATTTCAGACATCCAACTATTTCATAACATTCTTATATGCCTCGACCAACTAAAAGCTGCACATAAACAAATGTCTTGAGATTAAGAGAGGCAAATTTATTATTTTTAAAGAAGATGAACTTAACCCCTGATTGATGCAGAATCAAGCACACTTGAACCAATGAGTGATAATTTATCAGGTGAAAAACTTTAGGAAAAATGAGGGAAGTAAGTGATGATTATGATATTATGATTAGTATTGATCCAGCAATATAATTCCAAGTTCAATATTAAAGTTTTGTTCTTACACAGATATGATTTTGACCTGGAGTTTGAAGTATCACACAAAGGTGTTATCATTTTCAAATAATAACAAAGGGAAATTTGCATTATGATTTTAAAGAAATTTTATTGGATACTAATACATGTCATGTGATTGATAAGTGATCTGTAGAACAAATTTTGGACTGTGCACCATAATAATAATATTAAATATGCAGTCCAATTATTGGCTTAACTTTTTATCAGTTACATGTTGATAATCAAGATACCCTCATCATTATTATTATGACTAATTATAACAATAACATACAATTTGGAAAAAACAAAATAAAAGTACAAGTTATTGATGATATACTAATACATGTAGCTCTTGATTGGACTATTACTATACTAATGATAACATGATAATAATATAAATAAGGGGAGAGATAAAATTTCATATCAAGCATATATTATACACAATAAACCTCTAGTAATCTTCTCAATCTTTGTGTCTAGAATCACATGTTCAGCTGCTTTCTGAAATTTCTTTCTATTCTTGTCCTGAGTCACCAAGATTATATTGCACCATAAATAGCATCACCTTATCCATATTCTGTAAGCCTTCTGTGCAGCTCAATATCAACTGCTTTTAGATATTCTTTCCATTCCTGTCCATTTCTTATAGTAATAATCAATATTTATTCTGCCCCAGTATTACTATTACTATATCCTTGTTCAGCTGCGTTTTTATACAGCTCAAGTGCCTTTTGAATATTTGCTTCCATTCCTATCCCATACTCATAGCATAAACCAAGATTATATTGTGCTTTGACATATCCCTGTTCAGCTGCTTTCTGAAACAGTTCAAGTGCTTTTTGAATATTCTTTTCCACTCCTGTTCCATTGTGATAGCAATAACCAAGATTACATTGTGCCCCAGCATGACCTTTTTCAGCTGCTTTCTGATACAGATCAACTGCTTTTTGAATATTCTTTTCCATTCCTGTTCCATGCTCATAGCAAACACCAAGATTGTATTGTGCATAAGCATTTCCTTGCTCAACTGCTTTCTGATATAACTTAACTGCATTTTGAATATTCTTCTCCACACCTGATCCGATCTCATAACAAATACCAAGATTATATTGTGCCTTGGCATGTCCTTGTTCAGCTGATTTCTGATACAACTCAACTGCTCTTTGAACATTTTTTTCCACCCCTGTCCCATTATTATAGCAAACACCAAGATTATATTGTGCCCTGGCATGTCCTTGTTCAGCTGATTTCTGATACAACTCAACTGCCTTTTGAATATTTTTTTCTACTCCTATTCCATGTCTATAGCAAACACCAAGATTACATTGTGCCCTGGCATGTCCTTGTTCAGCTGATTTCTGATAGAGCTCAATTGCTTTTTGAATGTTCTTCTCCACTCCTTTCCCATATCTATAGAGAACACCAAGATTACATTGTGCCCCATCATCATCCTGTTCAGCTGCTTCCTGATACAACTTGACTGCTTTTTGAATATTTTTTTCCACTCCTGTCCCATTCTCATAGCAAATGCCTAAATTACATTGTGCCCTGGCATGTCCTTGTTCAGCAGCTTTCTGATACAACTTAATTGCCTTTTGAATATTCTTCTCCACTCCTTTCCCATGTCTATAACAAACACCAAGATTACATTGTGCTCCAGCATGACCTTGTTCAGCTGCTTTCTGATATAACTTAACTGCATTTTGGATATTCTTTTCTATTCCTATCCCATATCTATAGCAAACACCAAGATTATATTGTGCCATGACATATCCTTGTTCAGCTGCTTTCTGATACAACTCAACTGCCTTGTGAATATTTTTTTCTACTCCTATTCCATTTTCATAACACCTGCCAAGAATATTCTGTGCTACAACATTGTTTACATTTGCTGACTGTTGATACCATTGAACAGCTTGTCCAAGATCAGTTTCTGTTTCTATTCCATGTGCATAGAAAAATCCAATTAGCCAAAAGCATTGTCCACAATCAATATGAGTTTTCAATGCAGTCAATGAACTTTGTTGCCCATTATTATTCCATATTATCCAATCTTTAATAGAATCTGCTGTTTGTGTCATAGATATTCCATTAAGTTGCAACATGTTATATAACATTGACAGCTCATTAGAAAAAGAGTGATCTTCAATCTTCTCTTCATGCTTTTTAGGCTCAACTTTCGGTAACTGGTTCATTATATTTTTTAATCTAAGGTAGCACTGTTCACTGGCTGGCCGTTTTTCTGAATCAATATCCCAGCATTCAGTATATAGATTTTTATACTCCTCTGGTGTGCCTGAAACTACATCATGTCGACCACCCCGCAGCCTATAAAGTTGAATGTCCAAGTCAGTCTTGAATTCACCACAAGGATATGTTCTACTGGATATTTCCCATAAAATGATCCCGAAGCTGAAAATATCAGACTTTTCATCCCGTTTGTAATCATTGTCATCAAAACATTTAGGGTCAAGGTATGCATGCGTTCCTCGCTGATCTGAGCGAGTCTTTTGTCGTAACTTTTTTTCTGATGTCCCAAAATCGGTGATCTTGGCCGTTTTTTCATGAATTAAGACATTGTTCGAAGACTTGTGATAATGTAAGAGAATCACTGGTCAATATACAGTTCACACTAATAAACATTGACCGTTTACGAATAGATAAACTTACCAAATCTTTGTGTAAGATTCCTAGCCTATGGATATGTCTCAATCCGTTAATTATGTCCAAACCCAGTTGACAGTTGACAGACCAATCTAGTTTGATGGGTGGCGCCGATAAATACTCCCGTAACGAACCATTATTGGCATACTCGAAAACCATCAAGTATCTTCCTTTGACATCTATTCAAAATTAGAAACAATTATTGAGTTCAAGCCTATTTTTAATCCCATTAATTGTTTTTCATTATTACCTTTGCTAAGGCCAAGGAATCGAGTTATGTTGGGATGGTCATCTACTTTGCGATGGATCTTGAGCTAGAAATGCGCCAAGTAATAGTCTAAATAAGAACCACGAC